TTTTTCTGGAGAAGTGAGTCTGCAACCTATTCGTCCAATTCAAGCCAGATAATCTAATTTCCCACTGAGCCTGAACTAACCGCAGTGTCTTGTCCTCACCTTCCAGTTCCGGTTTGACAGTGTTCAGAGCAGCACTGGATTCATCACATTATTCTAAAATAAACCTGTTTAAACGTTTCCCTGGTTTGTTCTTCTGCATTTTGGGTCAGACCTTTAATGAAATCATGACAAATGAGTCCGATGAACGCAGTCCTTATTGGCTGAGCTACTCAGGTAGAGATACTATGATGTCATAGAGCTCCCATGAAGGACACCGTCTTTTTGTTTGACAGGAGGAATGTGTGTGTTTGTATGTCTGTGTGTCCCTGAGCCCAATCAGACCCAGACATGTGATTCTGGTTCTGCTGTGAGTCACGGATCCGCAGGACGACAAAGCGCTGCCTGATAACAGCCCGACCTCAGAGCTGCTCCGACTCAGGAAGGTCATTCTGCTTCAGCTTCTCCTCCTGAGCTCAAACTCAGCCGCTGGTTCCTCCTCACCGCAGCGTCACACGTAACCATCCGCTGAAAGTAGTCCCCAGACTCCTTCCTGCACCGTCTGCAACAAGTGCAGCTGTGGAGCTTATTTATTGTTTCCAGGCAGAGTTAAAGCATCTCTGCATGTTCAGCCCTCATCGCCCTCATGCTAATAAATCTAAAAGTTCTGATTTTAAACCTGGAGCCTTCTACAGAAGCTGCGCTGGACGGTTTCGGAGGAGACATTTGGGACTATTTTAGATGGCGGATGAATCTGCAGAGTGAACAGGGGAGGGCAGACCGTGATTTAAGGCGGCAGAGTCTGTTTGGATTCCTGTCTGGGCTTCATGTGGAGCAGCTGAACGTCCTCAGTGTTTCTGTCCTTGCCTGTTCGTCTGCTGAGTGGGAGTCAGCCTGTCTGTCCCTCTGTCCGTCCCTCTGTCCGTCCCTCTGTCCTTCCTGCTTCATGTGAAGCCCTAAAGAGTCTCCACACCTTTTTAATTTTAGAGTCAGAGAGGACAGATGTCTTCCCCCTCCTTAACTCAGAAATCAATAGACTCATTTCCCTCCTTGTCTTATTTTCCCAGACAAACAGAGTCAGACAGTTAATATCAATCCTCTGATCAGCTCATCTTTCCCTGTTTTCCTTCTGTGATCCAGACGCTCCTGGAATAATTTAAAAGGTTCTGGATCAACAGTCAGTCTCCCTGAAGGATTGATTGAGTTTTTTTCCTCTCATTCTGCTTTTTCTCCCTCCCTTCCTGCCT